CCTGAATAAGATTCCTGACCCTCATTTTCATGAAGAAGTTCAGGATGATGCAACCATGGAAGGGAAGAAAGAGGCGGTGGAGAAAATAAAAGAGGTCAGAGAGGATGATGGAGAGAAGAAATTGGAGGCTGAAATCCAAGAATCTTTTCCATCTGAAGTAGTTGTTGAAAAGGATACAACAAAAGTTGACAATACCTATGAGTTGCATACTTCACCTTTGAAGTTGCTTGGAGAGCTTACAGGAGACCCAGGTATTGGCTTTTATCAACTATGCTTCAGGGAAACTCATGCAAGATTGCTGAATCATGTTTGCTTCAGAAAAGGTGAGATTTCCCATCCTCATTATCAGTCGAGGATCAACGAGAACGATTTTGTTCGATCCATTCGCAATATCTGTCCAGTACCTCCACCTGATTGTTATGAACATGAACCAGAGCATGATTTGAAGAGATTCTTCATCAATGATGATCGCATCGTTTATTTGGATGGCAGGTATCAGGTCGATCCAAAGGCCCTTGAAAGGGCAGGTCATGCTCGAGAAGAATTGGAGGATACGAAAAAGGAACTCAAGAAGGAACTGGAATCATATGGTCCCAAGGGACCCAGTTGGGACTTTGTCACCTTCTATGAAGAGCTGTGCAGAAGGTTCCTCAAAGGAAGAATAGAAGAACCATATGGAACTAATTTATTGGCCAGCTCAGAGTCCTTGACATTTTTATCCTGGAACTATGGCAACATGGTTCGTGGTCAGAAGTACACCACACCAAGGTTTCTCCAAGGACTTGATAGTGCAATGGGGCCACGCAAACAGAGCGCCATGTCACTTCAGAATGAGCAATTTGAGAACAACCTTTTCTTCAACATGCTCTTCTTTTTACGTGCACATGTCGTGATTCTCCAGGAAGCTCATCTTCTTGTTCCTGCCAAGGAATTTATTGAGCAAAAGAATTGGACAGTTTGTTTCAATGATTGGGAGAATCTTGCAGTGATGGCTAGATTGGCACCAGGTGGATATGTCAAGATCATTGCTGGACATGATCAAGAACTTGGTCACTGTGAACAGCGTGATGTAACTTGGGCTATCTACGAGATTTGTTTTGGAGAAACAAGGCCTCGTCAAGATTTCAAGGATGCAGACTTTGAATTTGATGACTATGGTCCTGAGGACAAGCGTGTTCCACTTACTCGAGCGAACATGCATACCATCAGAGTCTGTAATTATCATGTTGATACACACCGTGCTGTGGATGCCCACCTACTGACAGGAGAACAGACAGCATTGATGCTTTACGAGTGTTTTGTCTATGAGGTGGACATCATTTCTGGTGATGCAAATAGTTTGGCCTACAGAATGCCTGGGTACAAAAGGCAGCCAATGGCTAACTACTATTACAGCACCATGCAGCATTGGATCCGCAGGTTTTCAGAAGCTCGTGTAAAAGCAGATCCTGGTATCAAAGCACCTATTCCCAGAACATTTTACAGTTCAACTTCACAGGTCCTCAAGAATTGTGAAGATTACTTTGACAAACTCTGGGAAGAATATTCTACTGTTGAAAAAGAAGAATACCAAGGATCAAGGCTTGGCGATACATGTTTGTCTACCATTGTTGAATGGGGTCATTCAATGAGTGAAGAGGAATATGAAAATTCCACAGTGAGCACGAAGGAGTTCATCTGTAATTTTTCAGAGAACTTTGCTATGATTGACACGGAGGTTATGTGCTCAAGACCCTCTGACGAGGACAGTCATGGTCCAATGTTTATTTCACTCAGACCAGCTTCCTTTTCATCTGGAGACAGAAAACAGTATCGCATGGGACCAACTCTTCATGAGGCGAACTTGCGGAGGAAGGAGAGACAAAAGCAGAATAAAAGGAAAGGAAGGCCGCCAACTTCTGATCAAGCAGCTTCATCGTCTGCAGCGGCATAATTCCTGAGCGAAGGCTGAAATTTAAATGATGGCTAGGAAGTGAAGATACTTCTGGTTACAGTTGATACTTTGCTTCCAGGCTTGACTTTAAGTTGCCAGGCTGAAGTTTTAATAAATTCTGGTTTGCAATGAGGAGAAACTTTTTATCAAAGAAGATACTCCTGCATTCCAGGTTTATACGCTTTAGCGTGTAGATAGGTATGGACAGTTTTGCATAACTGATGATATCTATCACAGTCGCTTTTCTGAGATGACCTCTAATGGACAACCAGTCATGGTTGATGATTAAGTCATTTCATGATTTGCAATTGTAGTGCAAGATTTTTTGTACATACATTTGCCGGTATCTCCTTCTTGTGTTTTTGATGTGAATGTGAAAGAGAGTCCTTTTGATGCAGTTTATTTTGTCTGTGAATGAAAGCGGTCGAGACCACGTCACGAGAAGATTATTCCTCGAACCGTACGCTCCTTGCATTTTGCAAGGCATCTTAATTCATTGCAATTTGTGCGGTCTTGAATTTTTAGTTCTTTGTTACGCGAGTGTCGTTTGATTCTTTTATAGGTCTCTGTAGAGAAAAAGCCGCTTTCCCTTTTTAGTTTGATTTAGCTCAGGCCCTAAAGAGCTAGTGAGCGCCGGTACATGGTATCTCCGCCTGCGAAAAGTACAGTCTCCAGCCGAGGTACATTATCAATTTGATTTTGTACTTGAGGTGAGTCAGCTATTGCTCCCTCACTGTATTTAGTAGCTATGAGATTACCTTCTCTGAAGTGTGAAACACACTGGATTAGGTAAGTACATGGCACCGTAGTTTTCTTTTAAGTTGTCAGAGCTAGCTGGACTGTTTTAGCCTTGCAGTAGAAAAAGAGTATGCGACATACGCAATCAGCTAGAAGTGGACATGAATCTTGTGCCTGCTGAAAGGTAGAGCCTACCTGTACAGGGTTCCACTCCAACAGCTGATATAGTGTGTCCATGCTTGACTGCTTCAAGGCTCAAAGAGCAAGAGGATAAGACTCTGCGCATAAAAGACACTAGCGGTCTGCACCTCTACCGTGTACGCCCTAGTCACTCTTTCACCTCCCTCCCTCCCTCCCTCCCTCCCTCCCTCCCTCCTCCTTCTTCGCAAGTTCGACTCCGTCCTGTCGTCGCTCTTTGGCATGCGGTTAGCGTTGCGTATCTTGCGGCCTCACTCGCTCACTCTCACTGTCTCACTGTCTCACTGTCTCACTGTCTCACTGTCTCACTCTCTCACTGTCTCACTGTCTCACTGTCTCACTGTCTCACTGTCTCACTGTCTCTCTCTCTCTCTCATCTCTCTCATCTCTCTCATCTCTTTCTCATCTCTTTCTCATCTCTCTCATCTCTCTCTCCTCTCTCTCTCCTCTCTCTCTCTCTCCTCTCTGTCTCTCGTCTTTCCGTCTCTCTTCTCTCTCTTCTCTCGCAGGAGGATCCGGGCAAAGAGCCACATATAAAGGACTCTTCACCCCTGCCTCCAAAAAGAGCGCCGTGTTTTTTCCTACCTCGCTGCCCTCCACTTTCCTATTCTGGAGCGTTAGCTTTCTGGCCTCAAGTTCCCATTCTTCTGCCTGTCTTTCATCTGGACTTCTCGTATTCCGCCGTCTCTTCCGCCGTCTGAACACAATTTGTGAAGATGCCCATGCGAGGAGCGGAGCGATTTCCATCTCCTGCTACGTATGGACGAGTCAAAGCCTGGAACTGAAAGGTCGAAGATTACTGAGATGAGAAGCCATGTCTGAAAGAGAGGACGTCTCAGACAGCTGAAATTCTCTATGGGCCCACTATGCATCCCATGAATTTCATCTATCCGATGGCCATCGATGGCCGATGCCTTCCTCAGTTCCCACAGAAAAGGACCTCAGTTCAGTGGGATGTTTATTGGTGTTCAGGATCCATTCTTGCCAGGCAGCTGCAGTGTTGCCTCAGGTACACTTTTCCAACCATTAAGCACGCGGCCATGGAGAATGACCATCGCTTGGACTTGCAGTCGGTACTCCTCAGTTGGTGGGGCTTTAGAGAGCGCGGAAGGAGGTTCTGAGTTGTATTGACTGGGATGTAGTATGTACTGGTAGGTACAGGTACAGTTTTTGGACAGATGCTGGGCCACGTTTGAGTGAAAAGCTCAAGACCAACTTGAACGAATGGTGGCTCCGTGATGGGTCCGTGGGTTGTACTTGCGCAGCCGCAGGCGGCGCAGACCGTTTGCAAGATCCTAATCCGATGGCAACTCGTGGAAAAGTAGGTAGTTCAGAGGGTCGATGCCTCCTCCGGTTCTCACCCAAACCATGTCAACGATGACGAACCTGGCCAAGAAGAGGTCAACAGCAATGATAGCAAAGAATGAACGCGCTGAACAAACACCAGGAAAAAAATAACGTTGTTGGCGCGTGGTCTCCAAAAAAGAACATACTGGCCAACCACTCAGTCTAAAGTCTAGTTTGCATTCTACCTGTAATTGTTCATGCATATCCTCCCCATATTGATATTACCCACTCATGTAGTGGACATCGTGCAATCCATTTGGTTCTGTGGTCACCACGTACCGCAAGGTACCGCTGTTTGGATGTCGTGCCCAGGATGACGGACCTGAGCAAGATTCGGCGATACATCCCCTCGGCGGTCTACAAGCAAATTGAGTGTGGTGGGATGCCCAGCGAGACGCCCGTTCCATGCTTTTTGGTTATTCTCATGTGACGCCTTTTTTTGTACATGATGCAAAAGACTTCGACGTGCCAAATGAGGCAACGGCGTCAGTCGGTGCTTCGATCTGAGGCACCCTGACCTATGTCAATGAGATGAGGAACATCTCCACCATCTTCATCAACGGATCTGGCCTGGGTCTCAGCTTGCTTGGACTCCTCGAGGAACGTTGGATTGTCATTCGGTCACTACAACCCAATGTTTGATAAGACTTGGTTACTTGGTTCATAGGACAATATCGCTATCGGAAGGGATGCGTCTCCGGATATGTCTCCTTCAAAACGCACCAATTTCTTTTGCCGAACCATGTGCATCGGCAGCAGCACGGTCTTCCGAGGCTTGGACATTATGTCCGAGCAAGGGCCAATGATTGCACAGGTGCTTGTCCTTGATTGCGAATCGCACCTGTTCCAAGCACGATGGTCAAATGGTGACCCTGGTGTGAGCTTGGTAGCTAGTTGGACACCTGGATTTTTGGGTGTTTATGCGGCACCTGCCACTAATTCAGCTGAAGAAAATGGACGTCCCCCTCCATCTCCTGGTCTGCGAGCGGCCAGGAGCTCATGTCCTCGGTCCAGCAATGCTGCTATGCACATGAGGGCACATTGAACAAGTTTCTCATTGACGACAAGGGCATGCTCTTTCTCTTGGCTTGAACCTCAGCTCCGCAGGAGCTCTAAGGCGGCGGTGCTGGTTGGTTCCAAGTGAGTAGTTTTTGAGATTCATTTGCCACAAAAAATCCTCCATGTTGAGTGTGTCTTCATAGACATGTTGTGTGTATTTGTGTGTGCAGTTTTCTTTTTTTTGTGTCGACCACTCAGGTCTTCGGACTGCCACCACTGGTGCACACGGATGATCCCACACGTGCTGTCTTGGCATGCTTTGATATGGTCAAGGTGGGCATCGCCTGGGAGGGGGGAGTTAAGAAGAATGTGCTCGTAGGACTCGTAGGTCGGGCGCATCTTAAGGTTGTTTCAGGATGGACGTCATTGATCAATTGGTCGATCTTCAGGTTAGAGGATGTTAGAGGTGCTCTGCCCTCGTGGCCGTGGGGGTTGTCTCTCCTGCAGTCGTAAGACAGCAACATAAGGTCGATTTTCTTTCAATTCGTCCAAGGAAAGGCCGCGGTGAACTCAAATCAGGTGAAGTCCCTTAGCGCCAGCTGTGCCGCCCGTGCCGCCGGCGCGCTCATCCGATGGCTCGGCGGCGCAGGTGTTCAAGAAGCTCCAGCTCTGTGGAAAGTTCGGCGTCACCACGGGGCGGAGCTATTGCCCCTCGGGCGGAGCAAAGCTAATGCGAAAAGGGAATTTGGAGCATGATCTGACGAGCCACATGGGGAACGGAACAAAGCTGATGACTAAACACCCAACATCGATGTAATGTGGGGATTTGGACCAAACTAATTATATCTACCATTTTCAGGTGAGTCTCACGCTGTTTCTTTCTTTCTTTCTTTCTTTCGACTCCGGAAGCTCAGCGGATAAGCATTTTGGATGCATTCCAACGAGTGCCAACTGGTTCGCGACCCAGCGGAAACCACACGGAAACCGCTTGCGCTGTGCGCGAGGTGGTGTCTGTGGGAGTGCACGACGCATGGAGTACACCGTCTTGGGTGACTGCGTGAATCTGGCGGCCCAGAACTCAGCCTGACACGCTGATGCTTTTGAAACATCCGGTATCATGTGCAAGTAGTGCTTGAAGAAGATACTCAGGGGCACTCAGAGGACGATGCTATTTCTTCAACTCCAAGCAACACATAGAGACTGGTTCCATGTATATCCATCCCACTTTCTTTTGCATTGACAAACCCGTGGCGCAAGAATCTGTGACGAGCCAAAACTAAAGCCAAAACGAACTGACCAGCATTGGAGGAAGGAGGACCATGTGGTCCTCCACCTCGACAGAACCCCAGGAAAAACTGGTTCCCTGTGGGCCATCCGCTTTCTGTTCAGGCTCGGCTCATGTCGAATGCTCCAGCGAACAGCATCCTTTGCGACGACGCCACACGAAGACGCTCCACCACCGAGGCCACGGGACATCGATTGATGGGAAATGCGTTTCCAGCGACATTTGCATGCCAAAACCGAACAAATTCAGGGAGTGTCCCGAAATTTTGGGGATTAACCCTGATTCGTCTCTCCAAACATCATGCCACCCAACGATTCGGCCAGATCATCTACAACGCCCTGGCTCCGATCAAAGTCAAGGGCAAGGCCATGGTCTCTTAGTCAATACCACAGCGTGACAGTGCGGACACGGCCGGACACGATCATACCACAAGTGGACACGGCGTGTTTATCAGATGCGCTGACACGGCTGGTTGATGCTGGTTGCAGGAAAAGATGATTGACATCTTCCAGCCGGTGAAGAAGGATTATAGCAGCATCATTGGCCTCAACAAGAAAGGGTCTGGGACTCAAGGACTTTGTGGATTTTGTTTTTTTGGACCTTTTTGGTTTCGCCGGAAGTTGAGTGCCTCAGCGGCATGAACCCTCACGAGTCCATCTGTGACCGGGTTCGCACGACCGTCGCAGATGGGGGGGGTCGCCGTGACTCGGCGGAGGCGTTTCGTCTGAGCGATCCGTCGATTGAGGATGATCTCCTTTCCGTGGCATCAGAATGCCTTCGGAGGCGTTTCGTCCGGAGGCCAGGGGGGCGATGGGTCGCTGACGTCTCGATGGGGGTTGGAACGGGTGCTCGGCTGCGGAACGTTTGCGGAACGGCCGACAGTCGGTTTTTGGGCGTTTTTCGGCATGTGCCAGGCTTGTCCAGCGCGGAGCTGCAGGAGGGTGTCATCCGGCTCTGCAGCATCAAATCATGGCAGGGTATCTCCAAGGCTTGTGGGAGGGGGGGACTTGGGGGGCTTGGCTTAGGAAGGAAACTGGGCGACTGGCTCAATGAAATTATATATACAAATCAATACAAATCATAAATAATATACAAGTTTGATGTACGATACAATGATGTGGAGTCCATTGTGGGAATGTGCATGCTACACGCCCAAATACATCGGACCGGACCTGAAGGGTGGAATTCCCCAGAAAAGGATGGACTCCGATTGCTTTGACCTCTGGTGAATTTGCAGATGCCTCCAGTGCGGATGGACCGTGGCGGCATGGCCCGTCCACGTCGTCGGACTCCTGGCGTCGCCGGACTCCTCTGTGCTCTGAGGCGTCCGAGCTCTTGGGCAGTGGCTTCCGCAAGGAGATCCACAACGACAAGGCCGCCGCCGCCGCCGCAACGGCCGCCGCAACACGCCCGGACCGCGGTGCTCGGCGCTGAAAGCCCGACGCCGAAGCCTTGGAGGTTCTGGGTGGGCGCAGTGACGTGCAGCACATGTGCAGTGGGGTGACAGGTGCTTCTTGCTGACAGGTGAACTTGGGTGGTGCAAAGAACGGAAGATCCATTCATGCAGTTATAGAAACGATTCAGATTGGGTCAGAGGAGGGTGTTTGACGGATTTTTAGAGGTCTGCGCACATTCTTGGCCTCCATCAGCGTGGCATGACTCCACATCATATAAGAAGTTTTCTTTCTGTCCACAATTGTGGATAGTTGTGGTAACTTTGCAACCCCCAGCACATTCGAAATTAGGTCGTTTTGTTTGCCGTTGCCGGGATGTCAAAGAGCTTCTTTCTGCTGAGAGCTTCTGTCATGTCGACAAGGCCTTGCCGATCCCTGCAGAGCCCTCCATGGCCTCAAAGCCTCCGAAGGGGAGTCCCTTCAAGGAAGGTGGAGTGGTGGTCCGGGAGCCCGGCGAAGGAACTGGAGCCCGGTGGTCGGATGGTGGGAGATGGTGGGATCTATATGTTCCTTTTTTGAGATTGGTAGATTGGTGTACGAAGCATCTTTTTTCTCTTTCGATTACACATTTTGGTCGATGACTCCCGGAAGAGATGAAGAGATGGGTCGGTTTTCACCTAGCATCCCATTTTCACCCAGCTTTGCTGGTATGCAGTCATTGAATCATTGGTTGGTTGTGACTTGAAGGCTTGGATCTCTGAGGTCATCGAAGGTGCCACTGGCGCTGGGAAGATCGAGATCGCAGAACATGTGGCGCGGGGCCGAGATCGCAGGGATCGTGGGCACCCGTGTTCGACACAATGGAGGTAATCCCAAGTGAAATGGTCCAACGGATTCCAATGGCCTTTTTGTTTAGGCCGTCTACTTCGAAGCTACTTGGGTCCAAGAACCGCAAGCACTCCACCCAGAACCGCCTTCAATCAACCAGGAGAGATCAAGCAAAGAAAGTCAACTTCAGGCCCTCGAGGTTGAGCCATCCACTGGAAAGGCCAAGGGAACATGCTGAGAAGACCAATCATCCAAGTACAAAGCTCTTCCCACACTGCATACCGTTACGGCGTTACGGCACGGAAGACCGGAGGATCCGAACGCTGAGGTCGTCCATTCAATCCTGACCTTCCGGATGTTTCCTGCTCGGAGTCCCCGGAGACTCGCTGCGGAGCGTCAGACTCGCCACGGGAGACGTGGGAGACGCCGTGCCACGCGTGGGAGATGCACCATCAGGGTGTGTTGGTTTTGGAGTAGACCATGTTGCCACCTCGGATACAGACAATTGAACTGGGCATGCACTGAGCAGGTAGGCTTTAGAGTTGTGTGACTTTCTTGTTCCCCAGGATGGGCTGCCACCAGATTTAATTTTTGATGTGGTTTGGACATGGTTCCATGTTATGGTTTTGCATATTGATTTGAATTTGAATATGGTTCTTGACTTTAGATATGGTTGTTGATATGGTTCTTTAGAGTCAAATCTGCTAAAGCTGACTGTCCTCGCCAACCGAGGTCTTTGGTTGCATGGGTCCACGCTCTGGGGACAGTTTGCGAATCGCCTGCGACCTGCTTAGGAGCCCTTCGGTGGTGTCGGGGTGTCGAACGAAGCAAAGCTTTGGTTTGAAACCTGCAAGCAAAAGAGGTCAAGGAACAAAAGCCAAGCATGTCTCTTTTTAGCCCATGAGTTGACATGTGATATGCTGGGGAACATTGCCGAAGTGACAAAGTGGCCACATGTTGAAAGGGACGAACAGATGTTAGTTTAAGCTTCCAGCAACTTGGAATTGGCCACGTGTAGACCTTTGAGAAACTTCCCATTCTGAACCAGCACAGAACAGGCATCTGGAGTTTTGCACGTTGTGTACATGCACAGGAAATATAAACGGGTACGCTGGGACAGGTTATGTTGGTCTGTTGGTTCTTATGCATCTTTTTGTTGTTCACCTCTAAGTTTCATTCGATATTTGGTTTCGATGAGGAGGCCAATTGTCCCAGATCTTTCATCATGAGGGCTTTCTGGGTTGGCCTGCTAGTTTACATCTCCTCCTCTGTCGTCCACCCCATTCATTGCTGTTCATCGAGCTCAATTTGTGCTCCGTCCGGCCCCCAGGCAAGAGTTGCGGGTGGGCGTTAAAGTTGCTTGAGAAACTGTGAGTAGCCAGTGCCTGTGGACTTGTGAAGTTTTTGCAGCCTGCAGCCCTTTTATCTCCAAAGGACTTCGACAAAGTAGTGCTCTGGATTGTTTTGTGGTCTTAGTCTTGTGGTCATGATGTTCGGATTGGCAGAAGCCATCGCAGGCGCCGACCTGGGCTTCAATGTCATTCCGCCCAAGGGGTCTCTGCAGGACTACAAACTTTGGGATCCACCGTCCGGCATTGGCCGAGAGCAGATCTGCATTACTCGTGGCAGTAGTGGCTCAGACAACCATTTGAGGGAGGTGGGGAAAGATGTCGGCAACTTTTACACCAATGGACAGCTTCATGGAAAGATTCTGCAGAGCCTGACAATTACACTAAGGGATGAATCCAAGGCGAGAGCACCGAAAGCACTCAATGAAGAGGTGCTTGCAAGGCTGGGAGACCAGTGGGAGCTGAATGGGCGTTTCATCACACAAAGGGAGACACTCAACATCCTCAATCGCTGTGGCTTCCACGTCTGCCCCCGCAGCGTGCTGACCAGACAAGATAGCATACATCTCCTCAACGCCTGGCATACTAGCCTGACAGCTGAACGAAAAGACGAACAAGTTGAACAAATTGAACAAATTGCAGACAGAATGATTGGAGCATTCCGGGAGGAGATGCAACAGTTGAAGCAACCACTGCAACAGTTGAAGCAACCACTGCAATTGCAGTTGAAGCAACCACTACTGAATGCAAACACTGGCCAAAGAGCAAGTGAAGCCAAGCGCTGCTGTGGCTGTATCCTCAGCTGACAGATAATGGAAGTTGCAAGGCGAATGGATGTATATACTACTACTAGTAGTACGTGTGGAGCCTGAATGCCAACGGTGCATTTGCAAGCACTGGTTGCCGAGAGTGAGATGAAAAGGGTTCAAGATGGTTCTTTGGAAGATCAGCAGTGGCGGCTTGTATGGACGACTTTCTACATCGCCCATCCCGAGGTCGTCCGACCAGATTGAACAGACCTACGAGGGGCGTCGTCGTCCGATGACCGCCCCGATGGACGGGAAACACGTGGTCAATCAGTCTTCCAAAGCAACTTTTAAGACATATGAGTTCAACACGTATGTCCATTTGTTCACAGACATGCAGAGACGTACACCTCGCTATTGCTATATTGACATTCAGAAAACACCAATCGCATCTGCTGAGCACTCTGCGAACTCGGCCTGGCACAGCGCACTTACCTTCTGATTGGAGGCTTCTCAATGTTTGCATGTTCACAGAACAGAAGACTTTGCTCGACTTTCCCACTGGTGACGTTTTAGCTGGCCTATCGTAAAAGATGTGTTGAACCAAGCCGGCGGAGTGGATCGGTGAGCGCAGCGCGTCGTGCTGCGTGTCTGCGTCGCCCTCAGGAGCACCTTGGGGATCTTCCGGGGCACCTCCAAGACGGCGCGAGTCTCGGGTTTTGGGCTCAAACGATCTGAAGAGCGGGGCGGGCCGGGGGAGAGAGGGGGAAGGATGCTCCAATTCTGAGGATCGTGTTTTTTGTTCTACAAACTGTTTTGCTTTGGATCTAGAGAAAGGTTTACTGTTCTTGAATGCTTTTCTGGGCCATGGAGGGTCGACCTTCTTGGCCGGAGTGTCTGTTCAAGGAGCAGAGATGGCTGAAGATAGATTGCAGTCGGGTGATTGTGACTTGATCGTTGGGCCCTCCAAAGACATGAAACAAACGATGCAACTTTCCAGATTCCGATGGACTTATTGAGCACCCCGCTGTAACTCCTTGGTGTCAGGCCTTGCCGGATGATGACTTCGAGGCACCGCTGCCGGTCCATGTGGGCGTAGCGACGGGCGTTGACTGCGGTACCAGGCCTTGAAGCTATTGAACTCGCACAAGAATCGATGCTTGAACCTCCTCCAGCAGGCCGAGTGGTGGACTGCGGGCGCGTGGGTTCTTGGAGATGTTTCTTGGAGCAAAAACGAAGGCCACACAGCGAAGGAAGGTGATGTCGCAGACAGGTCGTATTGAATCATAAAACCGACGTTCCGTCTCATTCCTGAGAGGCACTGAGCAAGTCTGATCTCATTTTGGAGAAAGCTGCAGACGCCTTGGCCCTGGCAGTGGAGGCCAAGGGGCCCAAACTCTGCACTCGTGGCGCCAGCGCACTCGTTGGAGAGTTGGATGGAGAGGTGGTAAGTAGAAGCTTTGGGCCTCCTCCACCGATCAACGTGGACTCTTAGATGATTTAGAACCACCCAAAAACAGAAAGCACATCCGAGAAATTGATGTCAGTGTCAGTTGTTTTTGGGATGGACATGGGAACATGCTTTTCAGGAGAACTTGCTGAGCTGTATATAGGGGCGCATTTGACCAATCCTTGCAAGCTTGTCGTTACAGTTTCTTGCAAACCAACGCAAATTAACCAACGAGAAGTGGAAGCGACTGGAATGTTCCCTGGTCAAACAGTTTCCAGACAATCCTGGCTTGATCGAACCGTTTCCAGAAATGTCCGTCTTTCATTGACCTGGCACCTCCGCCTGCACCTCCGGTGGGGCTTTTTCCGCCAGGTCACCGTGGACTTGCTGACGCAGTTCTCGAAGTCCGACTCGGTGCGACTCTTGGACCGCTCGGGTCGTCCGTGGTTTGGACCGGTTCCACTCGACTTGGAGCACGCGGTTCGAGTCGTTGGGTCGGTGGACGGGTGCCACCCGTGGGTGCCACAAGATCTCCGCTGGCACCCGTCCCCAAACGAAGGCAGGACGTTTTGGCAAACCAAGAGCCTCTGTGGAATTGCTCATGACAAAGGTGAATCATCTTGCAGCAGACTACATCATTTCGTTCTGCAATCGGTGGCAGAGGGAA